GAAGCAAATAAAACCATAACACAATTGTATAGAGAGGAGTGGAAGACTACCCTAGGTTCCTTTTCTGTTTTCTATTCTGTTTGCTCACTCTGTGAAGTGACATTTCTCACTCGCCAAGTGACAGTTCAATATTCTATTTCCATCTTACTATTTCCACTATCTTTTTCTTGAATTGTTTGGGTTATTTAGAGTCATTGCCGCCCTGTGGATTCGACCCGACTTACTGCTATCTCCAGTATTAAGTTGGTAAAGTTCTTTGATAGATTCGACACCTATCAAAAGTGGCGCCGTTGCCGGGGACGGCGATCAACTTTTTTTTAACCCTTTGTGATTCTTTTTATTTCTTTAATTTGTGTTTGAATCTATGTACCACACTTTGAACTTAAGTGGCAAATGATTCTGCATATCTAGGAGATTCTTATGTTCCATAGGATCAGTGTATGAGATTAATTTATTTTTATATATACCTTCAAGAGGCTAACGAGGCTGATTCAACTAATTTGTGCTCAACTTTTAAACTCCAAGAGCAGTTTGCTAATGTGTTAAATGAGATTACTGATCTCAGAACTGAGATGCAAAAGAAGCAAACTGTCTCGAGGAATGAGTATAGTTGGAGCCATCCTAATTTTAATTATCCGGATAATTACCAAACAATTCCACCTAGTTATAATTTTAATCCACCTTGTGCTTTTAATGGTTTTGATTCTTATGAGCAGTACTATTATTGTTTCTCTGATCCACCCATGTCCCCATGCTATGAAAGTGAGCTCGACTTGGAACCAGGCCAAAGAAAGTGAGACAGTTTTCAGGAAACTTTAAAGGACTTAGAGGATGGGATTGAACAAATACAACAAGGGCTCCAAAAGTTTAATGAAATCTCGGAAAAGGAGGAAGAGCAAGTTTCTCATCAGATTCAGTCCTACCAGTGGAGGTGAAAGAGGTAAAGGAAGAACCAGAGGTGGAGATGCAACCACCACCATATCAGAAACCACCACCTTATGTTCCATTTCTGCCATTCCCACTCAGGGGAGTGACGAAACACACTTCCTCAAGTGGTGTCAAAAAAACTGCCCAACAGAAAGCTGTGCAACAAGATTTTAGTAACCCACTTGATGAAGAGTTGTGTTTAGAGGGACTGTTTTGCTGAAGATGAGCCGTGCTTAATGTTTCAGGAGACTCTTTCTCCAAAAAGAGAGATAATTGAATTGGGGGATATAACTTTATATAGGAACGAAGAAGAGTCAATTATCTCCTTTAATGAGAGTCAGGTGGACAGAGGTAAGGGTGAACTCACTTGGGGTGTGCAAATAGAGTAAGTTGATTTGGATCAATTTCAAGCTAAGAAGGTCCCCAAGATGCTGGTAAAATGGAGCAAGATAGAATTCCTTCAATGTGGGATGATTTCTAATGATGAAATGCATGCTTCCTGGAGGCATGATAAAAAGGTTGATGACACCTTTTTATTGTATCGAGATGGTTATTCTGAGCAACTTGATGCTATAAGAAGTGATGATTGAATGCATCTTGCATTCTACCTTTTGCTTGCTTCATGGGAGGCAACTAATGTTCTTTCCCTTCTATTTTGTTTTCATTAGTTAGTTGTAATTATATGTTTTTGTTAATGTGTGTTTCCATGTGAAGAGAAAGTACCAATGGCATCCCAATCCCACGGGTGATCAAAAAATGCAGCAGATTCTGATATCAGTCATTCTGGAGAGTGAAATTAGTCACTCTCCCAAGTGTTCCTGCAACAAACTGAGTTGCTGTGATTGGTTTGCTTTTAATTTCTTTTAGTCTGCATTGGATCTGTACTTTATTTTAATTTTAGGGGAATTGATGTCTACTCTATTCATGCATGATTATTGTTAGTTTATTTTGTTTCTAAAATAAATATGGGAATTTTGAAAACTGAACATGTTGACTTTAAAATTTTGTGTGTGTAATGCTGAAAGTTCTGAGACACTTTGTGAAGTGACTTTTTTCACTCGACAAAGTGACTCTAAACCTACTTGATGTTTAAAGTCAATCTGTTTCTTTTAAAGACCCACACATATATTTTTCATCCATGTTTTTTTTCTTCTAGATTCTTGAGACATCTTTTGTATGTCATATCCCTTAGTAGCTTGTTGATTCTGAAATTTTGTGTGATTAATGTGTACTTGCTAAGACATTAGTCTGGGGTAAAATTGTGATTATCTTTATGAACATTGATTCCATATCTAGCAACTTTTGTGATAAAATTCAGAATTAGCATGTCCAATTGAATATGAGTGAAGAAAAAAAACCTAGTTCTATTTTGAGTTATGATCTTAAAGGCTGAACTTGTTCTTGGAACAGTGGTACTTCTGGTTTGTTGCTCTCTATTGTCTCTACGCTTAACTGTATGAACCCAGGACCTTGATGAGCTTAATTTCTGATATCTTTAGTCTGTGTTTCAAAGCTAACCCTTGGCATTGGAGAAAGACCTTTTGTTGTGTGATCTTATTGGTTTCTAGTTACAACTTTGGGTTCACATTACAAGAACCTGGCAAATTCTTGTGTGGAGTATTCACTGAAGCTATTTGGACTTGAATTCTTCAACCACAGCTGAGAGTATACAACAACTCTAACTCATATGCTTCTAACTCAGCAACAAGAAGTCCACCTAATACCTTTTGCAAGAACGCAACTATGATCACCCAGGGAAGTACGTTGTTCCTCTTCTTTTTCTTTTCTTTTCTTTTATTTTCTGTTTTTGTGTTTTCTATATGTTTTTCTATGTTTTAATCTGTGTGTTTAGAGTCCTTAGGATAAATTGAGTCTTCTATGTGTTTTAATTTTTCTGTTTTTCAGTTCAATTCCATGTTATGTGTCTATGTTTTAGTTCCTTTCCTTGTTCCTTCGTTTGTAAGCATTGGGGACAATGCTTATTTTAAGTTTGGGGGAGGAATTTGTCTGAATTTGAGTGGTTTAAACTTTTACAGGATCAATTTTTGAAAAATACCCAAAACATTTTTGTTTGTGTGCAGCTGTGAACATGTTGATGTATATATTGTATCAAAAGTCTATGATGATTCAAAAAGTGCGGGAAGTTTTGAAATTTTTGACACTTACTGATTCACTTGAAGTATAGTTCACAGTTCTTCACTTTCTCGAGGACAATATGTCATTTGCCTGAGGGAATGTTCTGCACTTATTGTTAAAATCTGAATGCCTTAATAACATTGTTGTGATCTTATAGTGGAGTCCACTTGTTTGAAACCTGGGGGGATTGTAAACCTGAGTGAAGACTAAGGCAGCCCTTTGCATCACGGTAGACACTGTAAGAGCCCATGGTGGTCTGTAAAAGTCTAAAAATCTTGGGAAAGGGGATGGTAGGCGGTTGAAATGAACTGAAAAGAAAAACATTCTAAAATGAGGGAAGTTAAGAAGGCTATCCAATGAGGCAGTAATACCCCTGAGTGTTTAGGTTTGGCAAACAAATAGAGAGAGTCCTCAGGCCTGGTGATGAAATATGAGGGAAAAAAAAATAAACTACCCTAAGTTGCTGAGCCACTTTGGGAAATTACTATAGAAAACAAGTGGAAATATGCTCTGGGTGAAATGCCCTAAATTGCTGATGCACTATGAATAAATACTATGTGGGTAGGGGCCTGAATAAATTGCTGATGCACTATGAATAAATGCCCTAAATTGCTGATGCACTATGAAAATATGCTCTGGGTAGGGGCCTGAGTGGAAAAGCCATATGGATAAGGAGAAAAAGGGTTGAAGGAGAAATAAGAAGCAACTAATGTTGCTGCAGAATCTGTGAGAAAGTACTTAGAATCTATAAATCTCAGTAAGAATACCCTAGTTGATGGCATGCAGGAAATAGGTACTGATCACAATGATGTCCATTTTGTTCTAAAATGTATTAATTTTAGAATGGATGATAGGTGAAACCTTAACTTTGGCTGTGACATATGCACACACACACACTGAAGAACTGTGATACTGCTTTCCTGTGATAAACAATGGTGTATAATCTGTACAGTGAGGGACTTGAACCTGAGACTAACATTGATACAATGTTGCATCTACTTCTATTCAATTAGCCACATTCTTTTTCGATCAGTGTCATTATTCTTATCCATGAAAAATTAAAAATAACATTTCTTCTCTTTGAGTCAGTCCTTCTGTGTCTAGGTCGATAGGAATGTAGCTTGAATTTGTCTCCTAGAGGATCAGCAAACCTCTGAGTTTGAGTCTATTGCTTGAGGACAAGCAACACATCAAGTTTTGGGGTCTCTGATAACATAAAAATATATACACTTTTAGCAGACATTTCTTACTCATTTTTACTTATAATTTAGTGTCAATTAGTTAGAATTAGTTTACTTTTAGGGTGATGTTGTAGTTCAGGTATCTTAGAGGGCCCATGTTGAATATCAGCATAAAGTGGGGTCAAAATGTGCAAAAGAGCTTAAAAAGCGACCAGAATTGGAGCTGCTGGAAATCACGGGCTGGAAGGAGAAATTGGAGCTGAACCAGAGGAGGAATCCTTGCTGATGAAATAAAGATGGCTGCAACTTGATCACAAGTTGCTGGATTATGTAGCAGGAATCCAAAAGAGGAAGAAGGAGCTGCAGCTTCTTAGTTGTTGCCGATGATGCTGCTGTGATGTGTCTACTGCTAATGCTATTAATCAGGAAGAGCCAAGGCAGAAATCTTGCTGTTGAAGGAAAGGATAGCCGCCACCATTGCAAGTTGCTGACTGCCACTGCTGCTGCCTTTGATTGAAATTGAAAGAATGGCATCTACTGGAGGCAAGAATTGGCGCTGTAGATGATACCAAGAAACAAGAAAAGTAAAGCAGAAGATTGGAGGCTAAATTGGAAGCTGATACAGAAGACAAGAAGGAGGGAACATAATGATTGAACAGAAGCATGCTGCTGATGCAGCTGCTTAATGCCCATGCTCCTGTTAGTTGCTAGATTAAAGAATAAAGAAAGAGCAAGGATGTGGAAGATTGTTGTCACATGTCACTTGCCAAAGTGGCGACTGCTGCTGCTCTTGCTGATGGCCCACAACCCAAGAAGGAGCCGAACAAGTAAGAAGCTCAAGAATCAGATTTAAGGAAGCTTGGAGGCTAAGGAAGGAGGCTGATTGGAAGTTGCTAATCAAGTGGCTGAAAAAGAGGGCAACAAGAAGGTGGAGACAACTTGCTCAACTTGAGCAACTTGCTCAAGGGGCCAAGTTGCTCAACTTGCCAAAATTTCTGTATTTGCTTGTCAAGTTGACAACTTACCAAGTTGCTCATTTTGTGGAGATTAAAATAGTAAGAAGTGAGCTCTTCGAAGCCCTATATATACCCGATCAGCTTCAAGTATCTATCATCCAAGTAGAATAGGAAGAGAGTTAGATATAAACACAAAGGAGTGTATAGAAGAAGCTAGGAGCGGCAGGTGCTGCCTGGCACTCGGGAGAGTAAGAAGACTCACTCGAGGGAGTGACCTTGTGACAACAGCAAATTCCCTTAGTTCTTCTCTCCTTCTCTTAGTTGTTTCTCTAGTTTATATTGATGTTTAATGCTTAAAAATGGATCCTTGTCTATTTGTATCTCTAGATATGTGTAGCTAAACTCCCTTTAGGGTCTAATCCCTCTTATCTACGGAAGTATGTCTTGTAATGCTCCTATATGATTTATTGTTTCTAGTTTAAGTAATTGAATCAACCTTTTAGTTAGCTGTGACAACTAGCTAATTGTGCATACATACTATGGAATTCAGGCCCGGTGAACATAGTCTAGAATTGCTTAAACAAATCTATGAAAGAGGAAGTGACAACCTATGGTTCTAAATAACAATGATACTTAGTTATTTGACATGGATGATCACATGAGGCTTAGGTACTTTATGCCTTAGTATAATTTAAAATCAACATAGAAAGAGAGTTGATTTGTTATGCTCCCCCTTCCAGCTCTTCATAATCATGCAAGCATATTTAATTAAGTGGCCAAGTTAATTAAAAGGTTAATTAAATCACTTATTTAGGCACAACACCTCATCAAGGAAACTGAATCAAACTTTCACATAAAGATAGTAGGGATTGAACCCTTAACTGAGTTAGCTATTCATGTTTATTGAGTTAAACATGAGAGTAACAAAGTACAAAAGATAAGATATGAATCTAGATCAAAAGGTTAGAGGAAAGAAAGGGAAGATGGTAGCAGGACAGTTTATGTCTGCTCACTATGGCGAGTGACATTCACTACTTGACAAAGTGACAGTCTGCCTCCTTATTCCTGCTACTACCCTGTTTCTAACCTACTACTAACTACCTAACTACTGTCTTTGTGACCAAATCTAACTACTCAATCTATTATTTTTATAACTGCTATTGGGTGACTATTTATAGAGATTTGGAGAAGCTTGGGTTGGTTGGTTTCTAGCTTTCTTCTCTGCAGCAGAAAAGTGAGGCAACAACTTGCAGCAGTAGAGGTTTGTTTATTCAGCAACTTGCCTAGTTGGCAATTTGCAGTCTTCTCTTTGGCTGCTTTTTACCTTCAGCCGCAATCAACCACCTTCCTCTCACCATTACTTTCTTCTTTTAGTCTTCTTCTCCAGCGCAGTTTCTCCAATTTCCAGCCACAAATCTCTATTTCTTCATTCTTTAATCAGCAGCAGCTCAACTAGCAGCAGTCGCAAGCAGCAGCATCAGTAGCATAATTCCTTCCATCATTGTGTTTCAGCCTCCAATTCAGCCCAAATCTGTCTGCCTTTTTCTTCCTTGTTTCCTGTGATCACTTGCAACACCATTTCTCACTTGACTGCCGCAGCCAATCCATCAATTCAGCAGCAGTAGTCACAGCAGGTAAGTAGCAGGTTGTAGCTACTATTTTCCACATATTTTCTCTCTTTCTCTTCTTCAACTTGCAGCAGCTATAACTTGCAGTGATGGCGAAGCAATTCCTTCCTTTGGTAGTAAAAATTCAGCCTTGGCACTTCTTGATTGACAGCAGCAAAAGTAACTACAGCAGCAACTTGGCAGCAGAGCAGCTGCCATTTCTTCTTCCTCTATTGAGGTAGCTGCTACAGAGTCTTCCACTTGAATCCATCTGCTTTCAATCTTCCTTCCACAGCAAGGATTTCTCCACTTACTTCAGCTCTGATTGATCTTACAGCAGCTTCCATTCTAGTCCATTCTGATGCCTTTTTGTGCAATTTAGCCCTCATTTATGCTAATTTTCCACGTTGGCCCTCTGAGATACCTGAACTGCAAAATCACCCCAAAAGTAAACTAATTCTAACTAATTGATACTAAATTATAAGTAGAAATGAGTAAGAAATACCAGTTAAAAGTGTATATATTTTTATGTTATCACTTAGCTAGACAGTTGACAAAGCATGGATACTATGTGGAGATTTTAACAATGTCCTCACACCTGATGAGAAACTAGGTGGAAATCTGGTCACACTACTTGAGATTGAACAATTGCAATTGTGCCTAGATGAAAGTGGACTACAGGACCTTAGACAACAAGGAGCCAAATATACATGGAGTAACAAGTCGATGGGGGATGCAAGAATATATGCTAAACTGGATAGGGTTCTTGTAAATGGCTTATGGGTGGATCAACACAACCAAGCAATTGTCACTTTCATGAATGAGAGCATATCAGACCACACTCCATTGATGATACAAATGCAGGTGGAGATTCAAAGTAAACCAAAGCCATTCACGTATTTTAATATGTGGAAGATGGACCCTGCTTTCACAGGCATAGTGGAAAAGGTTTGGAGGATCAATATTGAAGGTTCAAAGATGTGTCAAGTAGAAAAGATGCTGAAAAATCTAAAAAAAAAGGGCTAAAGGCCCTGAACAGGAAAAACTTCTCAGAAATACAAAAGAATCAAAATAAAGCATTTGGGAAGCTACACTCCCTCCAACAATAGCTCATGATGAATTGAAGGGATGGAGGTATACAAGAAGCAGAAAGGGATGCATACAAGAACTTCATTAAAATTAACAAGGTGTATGAGAGTTTCATGAAACAAAAGATAAAAGAAGATTGGATCAGAGAAAGAGACATGAATAGCAAGTTCTTTCAGTCAAGATTCAAGTAGCAGGTGATGAGAAATAGCATGTGGTCAATAACAGATGAGAAGGGAAGGATAGTAAGAGACTGGCAGAGAAATGAACACCACTTCATCAAATTTTTTTAAAAACAACTTGGCCAACAATCCACGAGAAGACCAGTGAGAATAAAAGTATTTAAAAAGGGTCCCAAAATTAGTCTTGATATTCAAATGCAGCTAAGAACCCCCATATCCAAACAGGAGATAAAGAAAGCTTTATGGAGCATCAACAGCAACAAAAGTCTTGAACTAGATGGCTAAGGGAACGATTTCCTTAAGATAACGTGGAAGATCACTGGAGTAGACATCATGGAGGCCATTCTGGAATTTTTTTGATAATGGTACACTTCTCAAACAACTGAACTCTACAATGATTGCTCTTATTGTAATGACTCTACACTTGTCAAACAATTTTTTGTAATGCCTCTCAATTTAGGCCCATTGCATAATTTATAAAATTAGATCTAAATGTTATGTAATAGACTTTAAGTAGTGCTTCCTGTATTTGGATGGTAATCAGGGAGCATTTGTAGAAGGTAGATGTATCTTGCATAATATTTTGATCACTCAGGATCTTATCAGACTGTACAAAAGAAAAGAAGTTAGTAGTAGAGGTATGATGAAGATGGACTTACAGAAGGCGTACGATTCAGTGGAATGAGATTCCTTAGTAGAATGCTTAGAAGGGTTTGGTTTCCCAAGTTAACTAAGTGGATTGTGGCATGTGTTAGAAAAACTTCCTTTAGTCTGAGCATAAATGGGGCAACTATAGGATATTTTCCTCGGAAAAGGGGTCTGAGGCAGGGAGACCCAATCTCCCCCTCTCCCCCTCCCCCACCCCCTATTTGTATTAGTTATGGAGTACTTTTCCAGGCAACTTCAAGAAATAGTTGATAGTCCTTGGCTTGAAATTTCAGCCCCTTTGTAAAACCCTGAAAATCACCAACATACGTTTTGCAGGTGATATGATAATCTTCTGCAAAGCTGAAACTCAGTCCACCACTCTAATCACAGGAGCTTTTAATGCATTCTCTGAAACCTCTAGACTGAAAGAAAACTTGATGAAATCCGAAATATACGTGGGGGGGAGGGGATGTGGAGATGAAACAAAAAAATATGCAGGATAACTGATTTAAAGAGGGAAACTTCCCCATGAGATATTTGATAACGATTAAATTGTTACATAAAAGCATCACACTTAACTTTATATTTGATGAACAATTGGGGGTATTTCCTAACATTGATGCAAATTACTTAGCTCATTTTCATGTTATTGTTAGGAAAGGACCAGACTGAATAATAGCTGAAAATTGGAAGCCAAAGGAGCAAATTATGGGCTGCTGAGGCAAGATTGCTGAGCTGGACGAAAGAGAAGGCTCTTAGACAAGAAGAATCTTGTCATTAATAACCTTGCTCCCTCCTAGAGCATGCTGTCCCCAGCCGCAATCCCAGCCACCACTGCTGATCAATGAGAGCAAAGCGACTACTGCTGGAAGAAAGAAAAAGAACAGCCAAGTTGGATTGCAGGCTCAAGACATTGGAAGGATTAAACAACTCCAAGCATGGGGAGGTCCTCATGATGCAGACACCAGTTGCAAAGTACTATAAAGAAGGGGGATCTATCCATCAGTCTCTGGTTAGCTTCTCAGTTGCAAAAACATTCAGAAAAACTCCAGGTAGAAGGCAAGAAAGAAGAAGAAGCAGCAACAACTCAGTAAGGAAGCCAAGTTGAAGAATAGCAACCCAGTTTCTCCTTCAGTTCCACGAGTGAACCCCTTCACTCTCAGGAGTGACTCAGAAACTGCACAAGCTTCCTTCTCATCTCTCGACTATTAGCTTGAACTTTGTTTATTATGCATACTTCTGTGATGTCTTTCGATGTAGTAGATGTAGCATTTATCCGTATGAGTAGCTAAACAGTTTCCAGGGGTTATTCTCCTCAACTGATGTTGTAGTTGTCAAAGCACTGGTTTTGTTCATTGTTTTATGGTTGAAAGTTTTTCTACATTCATTTACTTGATCACTAAATTGAATGCATGCTAGAAGTAGGGGAGATCTGGAAGGATAAACTTGGTTTGGATTGTTTCAACTTTAACTTATGACATAGAGGTAACAGTCCATGGTTTTAACTAAGATAGGAATATACTTAGTTAACATAAGCATTCTTGAAGGCCTAAGGACTTAATGACTTTGTAGCTGGAATCAATCATTCGAAAATAGGTTGTTAAGGTTGCAAGGATTACTCTAGGAAAAATGGGAACTGACTTAGAGT